ACAGTTGCAGTACCATCACTCTACACCAGCAGTGTGGGTGAGGTGACCACGCAACCATTGCAACCACTCCAGCAAACACAACTCTAACCACTTTTCGGTCAATCAGTGGATTCGCTCTGCCATCCGTGATTCACAACAACCAACGTCTCCTATAGGTTTCCTATTCTGAAACTTCCGCCATCGCCTTGTGCGGTACTACTGGTATCAATATATAGATATACGTACATCTGCGTGTGTGTGTGTGTGTGGTCTCCATCTGTCCGTCTGTTTGTTCAATTTGCAGTCCTCTTGGAAGTGCCCAAAGGATGACAAAGGATATGAATAACGAGCTGCTAGATACCCTCACGCTAACATACAAAAAGATGTGGAAACCCAACAGTCTCAGATTATTTTTCCTAGCAAAACCATGATTTTTCCACATCTATGTTAGTCTACCCCGGGGTAAACTGTAGTGTTCTGAGGGGATGCTCTTGGCATCTCTTGGCATTGTTGATGGGCTTAATTTGTGATATCATTCTCTAACCTCTGATGTTTTTATGAACACTTTACACCCAACACTTTTTGTCGCGTCATCTCTGCTGGGGGATGAGATGGTAGCTACAAACAAATGAGCAACCATGAAAAACAAAAACAAATAACACAGTTTAACACACGTAAAGAAAAGGTCCATATCAACAACATACAATAAAACAATACACGCGCTGCGTAAATTCCATGCAGTGATACGGATATTGATATTGCAACATGCCCCACAGCGACAACAAATGCTGGAAATCAGATTGCAAGTGGGTAGAATCAGACTTTGAATCTTTCACAATTCGACGAACTATATAGATACCCCAGGTCCGTCTGGAAGTTTCTTGTTTACAACATTCCCACCTGCTTCGATGCTGCCAAGCATCTCGCTTGGCCATTCTTCGCGAGTTCACAGGGTAGAAAACAGTGAAATCCAGGTGGAAATATTTCATCATGTCCTGATATGGCTTGGTCAATGGGGAATACCCTGTGTTTGGGGGCTGCGTGGGAAACTCATATATCCTCAAACAAACAGAGTTTGAGACTATCCCCCTGATCAACCACAAAAGAACCGAAACAGCTATGGAAAAATCATGAGCAATCATTGAATTTTATGGGGAAATCATGGAAAACCATGGAAAACTATCCAGCCTCAATGTAGGACACCCCGTCTATCAGCGACCGTAACGCCAAGTTGCGGCAACATCTTCTGGTCCAAGCATGAGAACTTTGTAGTTGGCTCGTTTCAGTGCTAAGGCAGCCACCAAATACCTAAGAAATCATGAGGGATAAATTCACCTCGATATACCTATACAGCCTATACACGCATACACACATACACACACACATATATATATATAATACAACATATACATTATATATGCCTATAATATTCTATAATTGTCTATATATAATAATATATATATACATATTATATGTTTTTTCGCAGCGTAAACACCTATATAATTACACACAAATCTGATCAAATCTAGAAATATCCAGGTCACACGCATGCATATGATTGTTTGACATCCTCTGCTGTGTCAAAGTAAATAGTGAATGTGTATCATTTCACAGTCCTGCCCTAGTTTCCTCCACTAAAATGCTGCAGCAATGGATGATGTCGAGTATTTCGCGATGTTCACGTGAAAATCCATATGCACAAAAAACACCTGATCCGCAGAAACTGGCTGGATCCACGAGAAAATCTGTCAAATTCTTGCAGTTCCATAGCAACGTGTCTGCCCTTCTTGATAACATCTTGACATGTCGTAGCTCTGGCCGTGCAAGGCAAGGTCAGACCTATACTATGGGTCGAAACCCTGATGCCCTCATGAACACCCCAACAGCTGACGACTGGATGTTCATCTTTTGAACGTGTGGTAACCGTGGTACTGTATAATTTAAGGTTTTGATCCATCTCCGTTTCTGTGAGTTTGTCAGCATGACATCACAATGACATAAGGGACAGTATGTTATAAGCCTGACGCAGAACATAGTTGGGATGATTTCAAGCCGCATCACTTTAGCCGGGTGACGGCTGAACGTCGCCTCGTGAGCCTTCTAAAACAAAGGCCACACGTCGAGCCATCGCTGCAAGACGCTGCTGTCTGAGCCAAAGGTCTGAGATGTTGTGCTGAGTTGAATGCTTGAACATCCCTAGCCCTACAGTAACCTGACTCAATGCCATGAAATTGATGCTTGCCGCAGATGTACTTCAATTGGTGATGCCTGACTGTCTCAGTCCACAGTCAAAGGCTCCAAGTTTGTTTCTATCCTTCGGATCCACTTTTATCCGGTTCTGCTATCCTAGGAATTCTGATCAATTTGGGACAATTTCCGTGAGCTTGCTGATAGACTGCCTAGTTTTAAAAGCATCAAAAAAGGCCAACATCCTGGAGATCGGGACAGGGCAAGCCCCACCTGCTCAAGCAAGGCCATGTTCCTTTGAGGCACGCCAACCCTCAGCCGTCAGGATCTGACGCCGATCCAACTGGGCCGGAGCCGCAGTGGAACTGGGGCCGCTTACGCCACAAAATGACCATTGTTTGGGGGGAACTTATGATAAGGCATCTGAAAACTTACAGTACAACTTGGATACACAGGCATCACACATAGTCAAGGAGTCACATGCAGAATGGAGGGCAAAAAGGCAAAAGTTTGATCTTGCAAGTTGAAGTTGAAATGACCTCACGTTTAAATCCACACTTCATGACTGGGTCAACGCATTCCTCTGTAATTTAACATAGCTATGGAAGCCATGGCCCATTTAGTTCGATAGTTTACTGTTCTTAATCATGGTGATTCTCCGCAGCTATGTTAACTTACCGGGTGGTATATAGTTTAACCAATATTTTCTGATATTAACACATATTAACTGACATTATATGTTAACATTTACATTTATTAACTGCCTCAAAACCATGGCATTATGGTTGATGAAGCACTTTCTACCTGGCCGTGCGCAGAACCGGGCTCCAAACTCTGTGGCCATCTTCCCAGCACCGTAGACTGAACCAAGCCTGGGCCCAGTGCTGCAGTAGTCTTTCTATTGTGCTTCGGCTCGATGACGTAATAATGCAAGGAACTCTCTTGGAATCCAGAAAGTCCCTTTCGTTTGATTCATTCCATGTGCAGTTTATTAAGTATATTATAAAACACTTTATTAACACTTTGGCCGGTCCGACTTCTGTACTTTTTGGCGGTGCATGGTGACGACCAGCCGACCAACTGTGCCCCTGGCACGGTGGCGTTGGAGGGCGCCAGGCCACACAAGCTGTGAAGCAACAAGGACTTCCCAGCGCCGCTTGGACCCATGACCTCACTGCCGCCACCCTGCAGGGGGATGTAGAAAACCAGGCACCTTACCCCGTTCTTTTACCACCGAAAAGAATGCTGGTATTAGTAGATAACCCGTTTCAGTACTGAAAATGCCAGCTTGATTGTTGGAAAAACAAGTTCGAAGTCACCTACACCTTACTCATTCGGCAACTGCATCCAATCCATCCACCAACTGTTCACCTATATTTTGTACCCCGCGTTTACTTTTCACATCCGCCGAATATTGAATTTACCCCTGAAATCTTGTTTTTTGGAGTATTATTGGATATTTATTTTAGGGTATACAATATCAAGGGCATCAGGTGGGTCATCACTGCATCATTGATATGAATGCTAAAAATAAATAGGTCCCATATCCCTATCTTGTTGGGGAATACCCATTCTGGTGGATTATATACTTAGATATGCTTAAGAGGCCATAGAAAATCGAACATAGTCACAGTAGATTCCCAAATTTGCCAGGCTTACCCTCCCGTAAACATACAAAAAAAGACGTGGAAAACCCGCCATTTTTATTTGGGGGGATGGTACCCATGTTTTAAGTCGAATGGGTTTCCCCATGGCGTTTTCCACAGCATTTTGCTCCAGCTGGGGCACCGCCAATAAACGGCACGCCTTGGCACTCCTGAGGCGTTTTTTGTCTGAGAAATGGATGAGAGACAAAGACATATCTTGTTTTGATGTGCGCACCTATATCCATTAAACAATATATGTATATAACCCGTGTGTATATATATATATATGTGTGTGTGTGATGTATGCATATGCATGTGCAGTACATAATGCTGTACAATCAATCAACTATTATATATATACACTGCAATGTAAAGAATCGTCATAAAAGCACAGCACAAATATTAATACACATATATGCACCTCACATATCTTATGATACAATAAGGGGCCTCATATCATATCTAGAGACATCTGATAAACTTTGACTCTGATATGATATTTTTCTACCATACCAAATCCATCCAAGTCCAGAGCTACAACTGCTTGTCATTTGAGCAATGTCAAACCCTATTGAAAACAGCTGATAGTGGAGACCACCGGCTCACGGGTTATGATACGCATATTACACCTGGTCGTTTATCCACCTACCTATCTATCTATCTATCTATCTATCTATCTATCTGCCTCTCTATCTATCTATCTATTTATCTATCTATCTATCTATCTATCTGTCTATCTATAAATTTATCTATTTATCTGTCTATCTATCTATCTGCCTATCTTTCTATTTACCTATCTGTCTATCTATCTATCTATCTATCTGTAAATCTACCTATCTATCTGTCTATCTATTTATATGTCTATCTATCTATCTATCTGTCTATCTATCTGTCTATCTATCTGCCTATCTATCTATCTATCTATCTCTCTATCTATCTATCTATCGATCGATCGATCTATCTGCCTATCTATCTGCCTATCTATCTATCTATCTATCGATCGATCTATCTGCCTATCTATCTATCTATCTGTCTTTCTTTCTTCCTATCTATCTATCTGTCTATCTATCTGTCTATCTATCTATTAAAATTTAAATATATAGATCTATGTATTTATCTATCTATCTCTATACCTATCTATCTGTCTATCTATCTATCTATCTGTCTGTCTGTCTATCTATCAATATATCTGTCTATCTATCTATCTATTGATCTATCTATCTATCTGTCTATCTATCTATCCATCTATCTACCTATCTATCTATCTATTTATCTATCTATCTATCTGTCCACCTATCTATCTGTTTATCTATCTATCTATCTGTCTATCTATCTATCTATCTGTCTATCTATAAATTTATCTATTTATCTGTCTATCTATCTATCTGCCTATCTATCTATTTATCTATCTATCTATCTGTCCATCTATCTATCTGTATATCTACCTATCTATCTGTCTATCTATTTATATGTCTATCTATCTATCTATCTGTCTATCTATCTGTCTATCTATCTGCCTATCTATCTATCTATCTAGCTATCTATCTATCTATCTTTCTATCTATCTATCTATCTATCTAATCTATCTATCTATCTATCTATCTTTCTATCTATCTATCTATCTATCTAAACTAATCTAAACTAATCTAATCTAATCAATTAATAATTATATCTATCTATCTACCTATCTACCTATCTACCTATCTACCTATCTACCTATCTACCTATCTACCTATCTATCTATCTATCTATCTATGTATCTATCTATCTATCTATCTAGTTAGTAGCAAGACGACCTGAATCATCAACCAACTATTTTGCTTTAGTTTAAACTGCTCATGTCTTGAGCACTCAGAGCGGCTACGGCTTGCAGAAAGAAAGTATCATTCTAGATTTAGTCTACATGATATCAATATTATATACTCAACTCTTGCGTTGCACGTTGTTCATGTCAATATGGTCAGTGCCGGAATTATAGAACGGAAGTTGAGGAGTACGAAGGTACGGTTATTTACCGTACCCTGTTGTTCTATAATTCTGTTTTCCTCGGAAGGTAGAAAAAAAACGTATCTGAATTTACTCCTAGCTTTTCTCGTCGTTCTATAATTCTTGTCGGAGCGCTATTGTTCTATAATTCGAATTTTCTATAATTCTTGTCGGAGCGCTATTGTTCTATAATTCTGTGTTCCCCCATTTTTCCCACATTTCCCATTATCCTCATGTTACAGCATCCTCATTTTATCCGCGTTTCCTCATCAAATCTTCATTTTATCATCATTTTATCTTCATTTCCTTATCAAATCCTCATTAAATCCTCATTAAATCTGCATTTTATCCTCATTTCCTCATCAAATCCCCATTAAATCCTCATTTTATCCGCGTTTTATTATCATTTCCTCATCAAATCCTCATTTTATCTTCATTTTATCTTCATTTTATCCGCATTTTCTCATCAAATCCTCATTAAATCCTGATTAAATCCTCATTTTATGTTCATTTTATCTTTATTTTATCATCATTTCCTCATCAAATCCTCATTTTATCTTCATTTTATCCTCATTTTATCCTCATTTTATCCTCGTTTCCTCATCAAATCTTCATTTTATCTGCATTTTATCTTCATTTCCTCATCAAATCCTCATTAAATCCTCATTAAATCTTCATTTTATAGATTGTATATGTACAAATATGCAGTAAATATCATGTCAGTGCCAGAAATTATAGAACGGAGCCAGGAGGACAAAAGTACGGTAAAATACCGTACCTTTGTCCTCCTCCCCGTTCTATAATTAAATTTCCCGACTCCGCTCCGAATCGGAACCCAGAGGAGGACAAAGGTACGGTATTTTACCGTACTTTTGTCCTCCTGGCTCCGTTCTATAATTCTGGCACTGACTGTAACTATACTTGAGACTAGTATAGTACAGATTAGTGCAGTAATTAAACATGTTTCAGCACACAATCCCAAGCGTACTCCCTTGCCATCATCGCACTTGGACTCTGGGCCCACTGTGTGGCTGAACCAGGATCTTGCCGTTCACGGACACCGAGACATTGTCCCAATAGATGCCCTGGAGGCCCAGGGAAGCTGGGAGGATCATCACAAAAAGCCTGGAACACGTTGAAAGATGGTGCAAACATGTTGAATAAATGTTCGAACATGATGAATAAGTGGTTGAAACATGTTGAAATCACCAACCAGACTTTATTGAAAATGTTTTTCAACATTCACAATTCACAGGTATATAGATCATTTTTCAACAGAAAGATAGGCCGAGAATCTACAAGGGGTCTACCCAGCAAAAGGGGGCAGCATCACCAATAAGAGAGTGTACCCCAATCGATTTTGAGCAGCATTGATTTGGGCACTTTGAAAATCCGATGACCAAAATCTCCTCTGATCCACACACCCAGCACATCTCTGATATTCAATATGTGCTAAGAAAGGAAGCACACCGATCACACCGGAAATGAATAGAAATGAATAGAAATGGATAGAACTATCAAGAAACATCATCCGTTCCCTAGTAGACTCAGCATTTTGGGGTCTCCTGGAATCCCAGCTACCCCCTATTTTTTTTCGACCAGGGCCTCCTCCATAGTGGTGCCAGGTTCCATGCTTGAAGTACTCTGCGGGACTTGTGCGAGGCTGCTACATGTTTTTATCTAATTCGAAATTTCACGTGACATTTCTATCATGATCACCTATAGTAGATAGCATACTTTCAGTATCTTTATCATTGACTTCAAAGTGTCAGATGACTTGTCCATGTCTTTATCATTTAGGAATGCAGCATGCGGAAGCCTTTTACCATCCTGCATTGTGACTGTTGTGTTGAACTTCTCAAACCAACAAGCCGTGCTAACAGTACAATCAGTGTTGCCAAGTGCATTAAACAAAACATATATAGTCAGGTTCATAAAAGAAAATAATGGCTAATTATGTGTCTACCAGCTCAGCACTTGCTTGATGAACTTTGCAAACGGTGTAGCAGCTTTCGGTTCATTTCGATTGTCCAGGAAGTACAGCCACCATATGTCAACATTATTCATAGGTGTCCAGTGTCCTCGAACACATGAAAGAAATTCCAAGCAAGGAAGGAGGAAGGTTTCTTCCCCACTGATTTGATTGTGTTTTCATCTATGTCTATGATCTGTGTATAATTATGCCTTAAGGCTGATGTAATTTCAACGAATGTGCCACAGTTTGAGGTAGCCAGGCTATATATATATATATAGATAGATATAGATATAGATATAGATATATAATATAGATATAGATATAGATATAGATATAGATAGATAATATATAATCCCGATCCATCAGCAGCCCAAATGCATCTTCAACTGGGTTGCCGCCTAGCTAGCGATGGTTATGGGCAATTCCTTACATTGCCATTTTGGGTCAACACTGGCCAGTAGGCTCAGAGGATTTGTTCTGGCAATGATCCACATCCACATTTGTTATATATTCATTAGTTTAGGGATGTTTAGGGTGTTCTTGTGCAGCTGCCCCCTGGGGCCTCCCACCGAAGCTAAACCTGGGAACGCCAAGGGGAGTCGATTCCGTTGCGCAATCTTGTTGTCTTGAGTAACAATGGGATCAAAGTAGTGATATGGGATAAAATAGTGGCATAGCAGCAAAGCCAGCACCATAACTGCTTGGGGAATTTGGGGGATAAAACAAGTGGTCTTTTCCCGACGCTCAGTTCGTAGCTCGTAAGGTCACGAGTTTCGTCACGAAGCTTCCCCGAATTCAGGAGCCACCAGGCCCCGCGAGCACGGCTAGGGCCATTCAGGTGCCCATAAAATCTGCTGCAAGTGCTGCTCAAGGGATCCCAAAACCTGGATGCATCCCCGGGTCCAAGGTTTGAATCCTAAAGAACCAAATCTGTACCAGTTTGGGAAACACACACACACATATATATATATTCAAATACAATTGTTATTGTTCCCCTTAAAGACCTACTGATATTTGTTTGAAGTTTTTCTCGGGTATGATGTATCATGATTTGCCCACGGCCCACGGTGTATCACAAACAGGTCCATATGCCTCCTAATGCCTCCTCACGGCACCTGTGTGAGTATCCCCCTTATGCCTCCTTCTTCCACTCCATAGTGGACCAGGATACTCACACAGGTCCAGCTTTTTCACTGGTCCACACCCAAGTCGAGATAGAGATAATCCACTCATGACAGGTGGTCAAGCGAGTAGAAGAATGCAGTCTTTTCCAAACATAGTGGTAAATTATTGTCTATCGTTGTCATATGTTTTCGTTCCTGCTTATCGCATCTCTTGACATTTTAATTTATTGGTTCGATCCACCATTCCAAAACCACGGAGAGGCCGGAGAGGAACAGTTGCTGCCACCACAGGCTTGTCGCAGCACTCCATGACTGCAACAGTGGAGAGCATGGTGGTAGTGTCCTGCCAGGTGTCGCAAGCATCTGAGACACCTCCGGCCAGTTTCCGTGACTGGCTGGTGCGCTTAACAATAAGTTGCCACCCGGTTAAAATAGTTTGCAGATTCTCACTGGTGGCTGTGGTAATAATAGTAGTAACTCCTAGTAACAGCAGTAGCAGTAGCAGCAGCAGCAGCAGCAGTGGTAGTGGTAGTGGTAGTGGTAGTGGTAGTATTGGTGGTGTGGTAGTGGTGGTGGTGGTAGTGGTAGTGGTAGTGGTGGTTGTGGTAGTGTTGGTGGTGGTGGTGGTAGTAGTAGTAGCAGCAGTCGTGGTAGTAGTAGTCGTCAACATCGTTGTCGTAGTAGTACAAGTGGAAGTAGAAGTAGAAGTAGAACTAGTAGTAGTAGCAGCACAAGTAGGAGTAGTAGCAGCAGCAGTAGCAGTAGTAGTGGAAGGGGTAGGAGTAGTAGGAGGAGTAGGAATAGGAATAGGAATAGGAGTAGGAATGGTAGTGGTAGTGGCAGAGGTAGTGTGTAGTAGTAGCCGTAGTTCTGTCATTATCATGATCATGTATCAGAACTAACATATGCTATGCAAACATCTGTGCATATATAATCATATATATATATATTGTATATGCATATACATATATATATATATACAAGAACACCGTGTGGTGACAGGGGGACGGGTGGGGCACCTAGAAAAGAAAATAATGCAGGGGCCTAAGAACAAAATGTAAATAAAATGATAGGACATAAGACATAAGGATACATAAGGTAAAATAGGAAAATCCAAGCAACACACACTGGACAGGCACTAAGAGAATATGGCGTCAGGCCCCCCCCACCTGGCAACTGTTAGACGTGGGGCCCCGGCATTTTTTTTCTCTGTGTTGATCTCGTTTTCTTATTTGAATTGTTTCAATCATCTTTGACCTCTTGCTAGCAATTATATCCACAACATGTTGAACGTGTTTGAGGTTGTACACATATATATATATATATATATGTATGTGTGTATGTATGTGTGTGTATATGTATGTGTGTGTATGTATGTATGTATGTATGTATGTATGTATGTTTGTATGTATTTATGTATGTATGTATGTATGCATGCATGCATGTATGTATGTATGTGTGTATGTCAATATGTCAATGTGTGTGTGTATGTATGTCAATGTGTGTGTATGTAGGTCAATGTGTATGTATGTATGTATGTATGTATTTATGTATGTATGTATGCATGCATGCATGTATGTATGTATGTATGTGTGTATGTCAATATGTCAATGTGTGTGTGTATGTATGTCAATGTGTGTGTATGTAGGTCAATGTGTATGTATGTATGTATGTATGTATTTATGTATGTATGTATGTATGTATGTATGCATGCATGCATGCATGCATGCATGTATGTATGTATGTATATGTGCGTGTGATTCTTCCAAAGAAACAATCTGTAGAAATGTACGTAGTTTTTTCATTTAACTAACTGATATATAGAAAATAACCTTCACAAGTAAAGCAGCATAATTTAATACTTAGGAATTAGCATAACCAGAGCTCTTGGGCATCCTGGTGCCTCAGGAGACAAAGGTGCTTCAGGAGACAAGGGTGGAATTAGACTACAGCATCTAAACCAACGAAATGATCCTTTCAAAGAAAATCTTGCACTCCCAGGGTATGCTGGCAGCCACATGTGTTTTACCTCAGGCCCTGTGATTTATATATACCCGTTGTGGGTGCCATCTCCATCCTGTTTGATAGCCTCTCAGATGTCAGTTAAGTTTATGGGTTAGGCCCCTCAAAAAATATAATGCACCCAAAAAATAAAATAAATGCTGGTGTCTGACCTCATTTTATTTCAAATGTCCTTCGGATTTGCTCGATTTTTTTTATTTTTCTAGGGGCTCCAGCCCCCCCCATTCTCTAAGATAATGCATCTTCCAAGCAGATAGCATGCAAGCATAGCATGCAGTTGAAACCAACAAGCCAGTTTTGTGACAAGACACGAGAAGTCGCATGGAAGACATGTCCTTCCTGAGCTTGAGTAGGCGCTTGCCAGCAACATGTCAAGATATGGGAGCTCACCATACAAGAATAAACGCAAAGAGTGGGAAAAAACAATGTTCAAACATGCAACTCAACTGGACATCTCGCGGAAATTCTCTGTCCAAGCCATTCTCCGAAATTCTTGTTGGTTTTCAGGGTTGCATTTTGTGGTGTAAGTTGCTCAGCCAACTCAGTACACAAGGACTGTAAAACTCGAATTGGAGCTGGCAGGAAGAGCAAAGTCAAGATTGACCCAACCCACCCCCGCACAGATAATCTTGCCACCCTCAGTGCACGCCAAGCTGCACCAATGCTAGCACTTCTTTCCACATTAAACCTGGGATACAATCTGCATAGCGCCAAGAACAACCAATCTCCGGGGTACTGGAATTCGTGCTGATGCTACCTTGGGTCAAAATTAAAGATGCATAGAAACACACATTTTTTTTGCATGTGTTGGCATAAACATATTCAATCCTTGCCGATTGTCGACACCCTGTGATCAAACAGCCAATTCTGTAAACACAAACAAAAAATCGCAAACGGTTTGGAAATTAAGTCCTTCCACTGAGATATAGTTGCCTGAAAACACTTACCCAGAAATCACTTCGCGAATCACACCATGTTCCTCATTGAAATTGTCATATTTTGAGAGTATACCAGTATATCCCATTTTCAGTCCACACTCCACACCCGGATCATCTTAATGGTTAATATTGTATCAACATAGCCCAATTATGTGCATTAGTGTTCGTAAACATTCATGTTTCTATAGATATGGGGATGGGTCAATATCTATTATTACCATATTTGGGGGAGACAGTGACACACCATCCATTCACCAGATATGACCTAGGGTACCGTTTGGGTACCACGGTTTTGACCCATAACTGATATTGGTCACCCCCGTTATGCGTTGTGCGGGTTACACCCATGATCCGCCACTGCCGGCCATAGAGCCAAGGAGCCATCTCTGCATTTCTCCACCGCGGCGTTGTGACCTGAGATAGAACTGCGATGGCAGGCATTTTTTTGGACTAAGCATAATAATGCTCAATTTCATGAAAAACATAGTAAATATGTGATTAGTATGATTGGAGAAATAATGAAACATACATGTCGACATCAATTTAGGATACTGTAACTTCTGGATCCATATAATGAGAACTTCCGCCTATCACATGGCCCAACCCTTGCAACCAAGGGGCTGATTCGATTCGAAGTCAATGTGAGTTCGTCCAAATGCTTCAGCAGTGCCAGTGGCAATGTCCAGCGTCCCTTTGGACATGAAGAAACGGTTGCTCCAAAAGTGACCTTGCAGATATCATGGTATGCGCGTAGGGGATCATCATAGTATTCGTGCCCCTCCAAAACTAACGCCCCACACAAAAAAATAAGGCCCACAACCCATCACAAACCTGTATGAGGTGTTCTGAACATTCTATACCCCCCAAATGCCCCCAAAAATTTGATGGTTAATCTTTATTTAGCTAAGGAAAAAAATGCACACATCGTATAAACATGGCAACATGTCATAAAAATGGTGGCAAGTAGCGGCAAGTATACCCTATTTCAGGCCCAGAACCACAACCGCGATTCCAGGTCACACTCCCAGCGTGCCATGATTCGTGTCATGGCACTGGATCCTTGGATGGCATCACGTCGAAGAAACTCAGTGCCACGGACCACTGTCCACTGCGCGAAGTGCTGGTGATGGCGGCATTATAGCCTTGCAAAGGTGAGATCACTTGGGGGTGCAGATGCAGTGAACTGAGTGGATATATAGATAGATAGATAGATATATATATATATATATACACAGTACAGATACTTTTTTGGTTATATTTATGTATATACAATACGTATACACATACAATCACATACATATATAATCATATATATATATATATCGTGTGTGTACATAAAATATAATCCATACCCATAGTTGCAGAGATTGTATTCCACCTTATGGGGGCCTTAGAGCTGTTGAGACATTGAGCTTCGAGTGGGCTGCAATCGGTTGCGGAAACATGAAGCAACAAATGCTGTTGCTCTTGAAAACAAGGTTCCGAGCTGTTTGAAATGTCGAACTATTCCCTAAAACAAAATACGCAATTTACTAATGCCACCATTATTTTTTGGGGTTGGGCTACCAGAATACTTGACAGGCCTAGAACCAGTCCAACCAGTCATGACACTAATTTATACTAATTTGAGATAATTACAGTGCCAAATCTCTTGAACCATACATGCTTCAAGGTGGACGAGAGGATGCTGGGGCTGAACGCCATAGGCAATCCATGGACTGGAATGAAATGCGATGCTGTGACGTGCACAAGTTTAAGACCGTTACAACATTGAAATCTGCTGTGCATATTTGTTGATGTTTCTTTATAATGCATCTTTAATGACACTGCAAGGGCCAGCACACATCATGCTGGGATCTCACTATATAGGTCGACGAACACATAGAACATCAGTTGGAAAACACTCCTCCAACAGTTAACAGGGGTAGATGTTCTAAGGGTGAAGTCGGGGAACCACACTTAGAGCATCCCCAAAAAATCAGCACTTAGAACATCAATTTGTATATGATAATATTCTAAGTGTTTGTCCACTATACTAAAAGTAATGGAAAAAGGTGGGGTGAGTATAGGAATGTGTCAAACCAGTTATTTAAGCTTTGATGTGCGTAGAACAACATGTGTGTGGGACAAACCATATTTTCAGTGATGACTCCAGTGCCAAAAAAGAAAACCAAAACCATTGCCGGAAAGACACTTAGAACATCAGACCACCTTTTCCCCTGTCAAAATGCATGTGTTATGTGTTGATATGTGTTGATGTTCTAAGTGAGGTGTTTTTTTATGTTCTAAGTGATATACTTAGAACATCCCTTTCTTGATTTGTGTGATGTTCTAAGTGTGTGTGCCGGCGTGTGCCGGCGCATTTGGAAAATGTTTGATGTTCTAAGTGTGTGTGTGTGTCGACATATATACATACTAATATACATTAACCACATATATCTACACATTGTTTGCGTAGAATAATGTTTCTTGAAAAATAATACGGACCAAAATAGAGGTATATACAGATACACATGAAAGACTTTTCCCTGTCCATCTTTTAAGAACCTTTCGCATAATATAACTACTAGATATTACTAGTCACAAGTTCGCATACGTATGACGTGGTCTTCCGCCCCTTCTTCCCTTTATATAGTAGCCTTCCGACTTGTGACGTGCGCGTCATCAAGACCCAATAAAACATCTAAGACGTCTTCTGCAAATTGACTTTCAAAAGCGTCTTGCCCAAGCACAGGACCACAGCCATTTGTGACAATTTATGATCTGAAGTACTAAATATATAAGCGAAAACGGTTGAAGTCTGTGAAATTCATGGATCTCATGCTTTACAAGATCAAATAATCAAAAGCACTATACAATATTATACAATTAAATACAATTAATAATATCAATAATCATCCATCATTTGCCGTGACTTGATTTATTCATAGAGTCACCAACTTTGTCCGTGGGATCCATGGCCGAGAGACTGATGTCATCGGGCTGCAGCTGCAACTTGCCCATGGATGAGAAGATGCTCAAGGCCCTGAACCAAGCAGAAATGGTACCTGGCGACCAATAGAATCTGACCCCACTCCGGATGAAAAACTACAGCCAAAATTGCAGCGGTACTTCAACAATTACGTCATTCACGTAAGTTGGCCGAAAGTCACAGGATTTTATTCGGACTGTGGCCAGTGGCACTGTGAACTGTTTAAAGCCATTTGTTAGGTAATAGTCACTGGAATGCAAAGAGTCAGAAATCAATAGCCAAATTACAACTGGCACAGCCCGTCTCATTGTCTTGAACTTCCTGTTCTCTTACACAACCAGCTCTGTAAGAATGTTTTACATGTGTTCATATGTGTTCCACGGCATCACTAGGCTTGAATGGTTCGTAAACGGATCAATGTGATGTTCTACATTACGAAACAAGGGCTGTCGGCAAAATAGCTGCGATTTATGGATGTTCATTCCCCAAGACCATGTTCATCCCCCAAAGCCATGGTCTTTCATAGGTTCAATCCATAGCTATCGTCTACGGCGAGGTCGTTGTGAAGTCCACCCAAAAACCCAGGCAATTGCCGTGGTGCTGAGTGAGCTGATGCAGGCGTTGAAGCTGCCAGACATCATGGGAACCTCACCCTGGGTGGAGAGTTTGCTGCCATGAGTTGGAAAAATGTAAAATCATGGTTAACTATAGTGACTATATTGGTATGTCGATATGTTTTGATGGCAATTTAATGGTTCTAGGTGCACTCGTTTTAATTGGGAATGGAAAGTAGATATAGTTAGTTTATAGTAATGGTTGATGATAATGGGATAATCATGGGCCATGATTAGTAGTATTGCATGTATTGCGTCTGTTTCTAAGCACTGATTTCAATGGCTAGTAGCTGGGGCCTCCTGCTATTGGTGGCTTCTCTTGACCAGTGTAAACTTGAAACCATCATGAGTCAGTCTGGTCAGGAGCAGCCACAGCTACTAAGTGGGTCATAAGCCTAGTATATGCCGCTAGCTATTGGAAATATCATCAGTTATATGGACTATATATATATGGGTTATGTCGGTTAGCTTCACCATTTACTAGCTGGGATGCGCCCCCAAGTAGTCAAGCCATGTCAAGCCATCAAGCCACATGGGTCTTCTCCAACACACTCAAAGCCATGTGCCAATCGCCGCTCTTCTCGCACGAGCTCCTGTGGCAGCATGAAAGGGACACATGCCTTGCAAACTGTGATGGTCAGGGACCCCTGCCAGGATTCAAGTGGCTTCATTCATGTAGATATACAGATGAGTATGTATGTATGTATGTATGTATGTATGTATGTATGTATGTATGTGTGTGTGTGTATGTATGTATGTACGTATGTCAATGTGTGTGTATGTAGGTCAATGTGTCTGTATGTATGTATGTATGTATGTAAGTAATTGTATGTATGTATCTATGTATGTATGTATGTATGTCAGTATGTCAGTATGTATGTATGTCAGTATGTCAGTATGTGTGTATGTCTGTCTGTCTGTATGTATGTATGTATGTCAATATGTCAATGTGTGTGTATGTATGTCAATGTGTGTGTATGTAGGTCAATGTGTATGTATGTATGTATGTACGTACGTACGTACGTATGTATGTGTGTGTGTATGTATGTGTGTGTATGTATGTATGTATGTATGTTTGTTTGTTTGTAATTGTATGTATGTATCTATGTATGTATGTATGTCAGTATGTATGTATGTATGTATGTATGTATGAAGGTATGTATGTATGTATGCATACATAAATGAAATGATATATACATATGACTAACTCATTGTTCATATCCCTACGGTTCTTAGTTGCAGTAGATTGTCACCCAGGACTTACACAAGCCCCGGCTTTTGGCAAATGGATATGGAGCGTACCATTTTTAATTGGGATAATCACTATTATTTTGTGCCCCTTGCACTTGCCAATGAACTGGTGCTTCCCTGCGGTTAATTACCAATTTCCTGCGGAAACAACGAGCTTTCCCCACTTTTTGTCTAAGTTGACCCAGGCCAAATTCCAGCTGCACCCACCATGGCCCGCCCTGGGATGCACCAAGTCACAAGACTGCGTTGCAAGAAATCCCATCGGCTCGAAGTTTCGCAGCTCTCATCTCTTCCAGAAGTTCCTTGTGACGGTAGGTTAAAAAAACCCTCAACAACGGGGTGCGGGACTGGTTACACACAAATGGATATGTAACTAATTGGGATTCCAACTCCCATAAGTTTGTTATACGGACCCCTTTATAACTAACTATTGTTATATATCCACTTGTAACCCAAGTCAACTGAACCCGGCGGCCGCCAACAAAGATCCAATGGAAGTGAGTGAAGGTTGCAGGGCCAAATCAATTTATAGCTAGCAATTGAACTACTTATTCGCTTCCACATCCGTCAAAACGCAAAATAACAACTGAGCAAACTAAACATAACAATAACATTGTGACCATGATTCACCAATATTAACCACTATTCACTATCTATATACATTACCATCTGGTTATTTAACATAGCCATGGAAAATCACAATTTTTAATAGGTAAACCCACATCAAAACACCTATGCCCCACCCAGCTCCCCGACATTCCAAGGCACCAGCGCCACGTGGCTCCTGCGCGCCTTCTCGCCGGCGCTGATGCAAGCGCTGTACGAAATGACATCCACCGAAAGGCGCTGCCTCGGAGCGTGTGTTCACATTGGTTTGAAGAATCTATAATTGCGTGTGTGACCACAATATATATATATATATAAATATTTATATATATATATATATAGATTTATATTGTTTTGTTTTTACAGATGTGCATGTATACATATATATATATGTATATATGTGTGTGTTGTTTCTTTTTGCATTTGGCTTGTGCATTTGGTGTTGAAGGTATGCGTGTATACTCATGTAAAATGAAACCATTTTCAGTCTACAAAATAGGTATGCAAATACCAGCTTGTGTATATATATATGTGTGTTGCATGTAGATATGTGCAAATAGACTTGCATGTACCTCTTGGATAATGAATATAATCTATTGTGTATGACCTGCTGGGATGTGCATCCCGGTGTACATCATGTTGCAGCAAAATTGCTGTTTCAAGGCCTGTAGAAGTCCCAATGCTTTCTGCCATTGCCGCCCTTTCCTTAGGCCCCATGTCTTGCAGCAAAGCTTTCAAACTTAAGGAAGGACAAAAAGACAGGGAAAAAAAAAAACCCTAGCTGCCCACTACACACTACACACGTACATCTGAACAAATGATTTGATAATATTGGATATGGGTAAATCTATATAGACAAAATATATATATATGTATATAAGTATGTATGTACGTAAGTATGTATGTATGTATGTATGTAATTGTATGCATGTAATTGTATGTATGTAATTGTATGTAGGTAATTGTATGTATGTAATTGTATGTATGTAATTGTATGTATGTAATTGTATGTATGTAATTGTATGTATGTAATTGTATGTATGTAATTGTATGTATGTAATTGTATGTATGTAAATGTATGTATGTAATTGTATGTATGTAATTATTTTTATGTAATTGTATGTATGTAATTGTATGTATGTAATTGTATGTATGTAATTGTATGTATGTAATTGTATGTATGTATGCATGCATGCATGTATGTATGTATGTATGTAATTGTATGTATGTAATTGTATGTATGTAATTGTATGTATGTACTTGTATGTATGTAATTGTATGTATGTAATTGTATGTATGTAATTGTATGTATGTAATTGTATGTATGTAATTGTATGTATGTAATTGTATGTATGTAATTGTATGTATGTAAATGTATGTATGTAATTGTATGTATGTAATTGTATGTATGTAATTATATGTGTGTAATTGTATGTGTGTGTATGTATGTAATTGTATGTATGTAATTGTATGTATGTAATTGTATGTATGTAATTGTATGTATGTAATTGTATGTATGTAATTGTATGCATGTAATTGTATGTATGTAATTGTATGTATGTAATTATATGTATGCATGTATGCATGTATGTATGTGTGTGTATGTATGTATGTGTGTGTGTGTCTGTATGTGTGTATGTATGTGTGTGTATGTATGTATGTATGTATGTACGTATGTATGTATGTATGTAATTGTATGTATGTATCTATGTATGTATGTATGTATGTGTGTGTGCATGGCTATGTGTATGTGTAAATGTATATGTATATGCATGGATGTTTATGTATGTGTATGTCTATATGTATGTGTAAATGTATATGTATATGCATGGGTGTATGCATGGATGTGTGCATGGATGTATGTATATGGATGTATGCATGTGGATGTATGTATATGTATGTATTTGTATATGTACATGTGTATGTGTGTGTATTTGTATGTGTATGTGTATATGTATATGTATGTATGTGTATGTATGTATGTGTATGTATGTGTATGTATGTGTATGTATGTGTATGTATGTGTATGTATGTGTATGTATGTGTATGTATGTGTATGTAGGTGTATGTAGGTGTATGTAGGTGTATGTATGTGTATGTATGTGTATGTATGTGTATGTATGTGTATGTATGTGTATGTATGTGTATGTATGTGTATGTATGTGTATGTATGTGTATGTATGTGTATGTATGTGTATGTATGTGTATGTATGTGTATGTATGTGTATGTATGTATGTAAGTATGTGTGTATGTAAATGTACATGTAAATGTAAATGTAACGGCACATGTAAATGTAAATATGTATGTATGAATGTATGTATGTATATAGGTGGGTGGGTGGGTAGGTAGGTAGGTATGTATGTATGTATATATATACACATGTATATGTGTATGTGTGTATGTATGTACACACACTTAGAATTATATGGTCAATATATGGGCATGTACGCGTCATTCATTCAGGTGTCCATTTGGATGTCTGTTTATGCGCCTAAAAGTGGGTATATAAAACATGTGAATATATATAGACACGTGCCACATGACAAGCCAAATATCATACAAAATGTATTTAGCCTTTCATCATGTGCCCATACATGTAAAAAAAAAACAATTACAACCCTATATCCTCTCTGTCTATCTGTCGGGCGTGACTGTCCGCAGCCGTCCCATGAGGACGCCCCAAACCTATAGCCTATATTTGCATCTCTCTCTCTCTCTCTCTCTCTCTGGATATACAATGTATATATGTAGGCATCGAATCGTACTAAGATATCATATGATATCATTTACATGCAGGTACAGGCACAAATGTAGTACTTTACATACATAATTACATAATTATACAATATTATACATACGCATATGTGCCTTGTGGAAAAATGACAAACACAACATCAACCCACGCCAAGCATCTCGCAGCATGTAATCAGAGCTCCTTGGCTTTCTGACCATTCACTTTAAACAACGGGGAGCCAAACCTGCGAATGGTAAACATGTTCGCTGCAACCTGGACGTTTGCCCGGAGTTGATGTCCCGCCTTCCTGATTTTGATCCCTCATGAAGATAAAGTTGAGGTTCTTACCCCATTCAACATATTGGTCATAGGGGGTGGCACATTTTGATCCCTCATGAAGATAAAGTCGATGTTATTTCTCCAATCAACATATTGTTCAGAGGAGGTGGCGAATTTTGATCCCTCATGATTATAAAGTTGACGTTACTACCCCATTCAACATTGGTCATAGGGGGTGGCGAATTTAATCCCTCATGAAGATAAAGTTGGTGTTATTATCCCAATCAACATATTGTTCAGAGGGGGTGGCGAATTTTGATCCCTCATGAAGATAAAGTTGATGTCATCTCCCCATTCAACATATTGTTCTGCTACGTCACAATCATGAGGCTGGGCGAACGTTAATGTTAAACCCCTGGTGCTTGATTATTGGGTGTTTTGAGGGATCATGAACTGTCATAAGACTGTCATATGGGAACAGCACGACAAGTCGCCATAGGTGATTAAGGTGGGGCGGAGCTCGGAGCGCCGCATCAGGCGCAGCAACTGCAATGCCTTGGGCCAGTGCCTCAGCATGGCACGCATCGCAGCGTTGAAGGTGATGATGTCCTCAGGGACACAGGGAGACACGGGGATCATGACACAAACCGTTAGATGTGACTTAAACTGCAGCATGTTTTTTTTCGCAATATCATCTGGTAGAAGGTATCTTCCAAGTTCCTGGAACCAGGAGCATTCGTTCATTCCATCATCCCTTCCTTCATTGACTTGTTCATTTCATTTCATGTCCTTTATTTCAATTTCATTTCATTTCATCTCATTTATATAATTCGAGTTCGGTTCATTTTATTCGATTTGGTTTAAGTTCATTCGTTTGTTTGTTGGTTCATCCGTTGACTCATGGTTTCAATGATTCAGTGTTCATTCATGTCATTCATGTTTCCATTTGTTTATTGCTCTCATACGTGCATTGATCCTTTCACATCATTGATTTTATGTTCTTTCATGGCATCTCATTTGCATCTCAGAAACCAAGAACTCATTCATTGCTGCACCTAACAATCTGTCGTCGTCTCTGCATTTCACAAACATTCCTACACGCCATTGATGTCTCATAGTCATTGCTCTTGGTGCTCTTTTGAGCACTATATACTGGTATGTGATATTGTCATATATTGTTATTGTGTATTTCCTGGAGACTTGCAGGGTTTCATGGCATAGAATGCATTGAACAAAAACCGTGCATAACCGAGAAAAATCAGGTGAGCAAGCGGTGACGCCAGGCCAGAACCCATAGTTTAGGGTGGACCGATGCTTGGGACTTGGGTCTAAGCACCAACCACAATAAGGACTGACTCTGAAAGAAATGAGAAGTTTGGTGAAGAGAAACACAATTTGCTATGGATATGTGTATATATGTGCAATAGGCAAAACGTTTATATATATATATAATTATAGAGTATACAGTATACATGAATCTTTGCATAAAGGTGTGAGAACCATGAAGGGTTGTGGGGGAGGGATAAATCATGATAAATCGAAACAGAAGCACCGAAAGGGCCGAAAGGGTCATAAGCGTGAGCTGGCCAGTGCCATGATTGTCAAAATGTTGACTTCAATCTTTGAACTTTGGGGGCATGATGGCACCCCCAAAAGATTGACTACTTTGCACTGCTTGCGTCGATGATCTTGCAATCCCAGGTTGCAACCCCACGCCCCGCCTTTGGCTGCATACTTTGGGAGGAGCAGCTCAAGTGGTGAGTCTTGTGACAGGTTGAGTCTGCATTGCAGTAATGTTGGATGGACAATAGTAAAGCGCGTGCAATAGCTACAAATAATTTTCAGAATCTGATATTTCAGCCCCTATTGATTTTAAATTAGGCCTTATTGCTTTTAAATTACAGGCATCAACCTTGGTCCAGAGCATCTGCAATAAATGTGGTTCATTCGCAATAGCTACAAATCCGCCGACCCCGGCCTTCGCCAAGGCCGGGGCGGCGCCTGGGACCACCGCAGGTGTGGACCTTGTCCTCTTCCAAACCCTCCAAACCTTTACCCTTAAGCAGCTTCCCCAACAGGCACCCCAGGGCCAGGGCCACAGCAATGATTTTCTATGAGCTTTGGAAGCTGCCGTTTGCCAGCCCGCAAAGGCTCCAAACGCCTCCAAAATTCCAAACCCCCAGGGCCAGGGCCACAGCAATGAGACTTTTTATGAATTTCAAAGCTGCCGTTTGCTAGCCCGCAAAGGCTCCAAACTTTCCAAAACAAAATTCCAAACACATTCCCCAACAGGCACCCCAGGGCCAAGGCCACTTCCCCAACAGGCACCCCAGGGCCAGGCCACAGCAATGGCTTTCTTAGGCTTTCAAAGCTGCCGTTTGCCAGCCTGCAAACCCTCCAAAACTCTCCAAACCCTCCAAACCCTCCAAACCCTCCAAAACCCGCCAAACCCTCCAAACACCGTCCCCAGCAGGCACCTCAGATCCACCGCAGGTGTGGGCCTTGTCCTCTTCCAAACCCTCCAAACCTTTACCCTTAAGCAGCTTCCCCAACAGGCACCCCAGGGCCAGGGCCACAGCAATGACTTTCTATGAGCTTTCAAAGCTGCCGTTTGCCAGCCCGCAACGGCTCCAAACGCCTCCAAAATTCCAAACCCCCAGGGCCAGGGCCACAGCAATGAGACTTTTTATTAATTTCAAAGCTGCCGTTTGCTAGCCCGCAAAGGCTCCAAACTTTCCAAAACAAAATTCCAACACCTTCCCAACAGGCACCCCAGGCCAAGGCCACTTCCCCAACAGCACCCCAGGGCCAGGCCACAGCAATGGCTTTCTTAGGCTTTCAAAGCTGCCGTTTGCCAGCCCGCAAACCCTCCAAAACTCCAAACCTCCAAACCCTCCAAAACCCGCCAAACCCTCCAAACACCGTCCCCAGCAGGCACCTCAGATCCACCGCAGGTGTGGACCTTGTCCTCTTCCAAACCCTCCAAACCTTTACCCTTAAGCAGCTCCCCAACAGGCACCCCAGGCCAGGCCACAGCAATGACTTTCTATGAGCTTTCAACTGCCGTTGCCAGCCCGCAAAGCTCCAAACGCCTCCAAAATTCCAAACCCCCAGGGCCAGGGCCAACAGCAATGAGACTTTTTATGAATTTCAAAGCTGCCGTTTGCTAGCCCGCAAAGGCTCCAAACTTTCCAAAACAAAATTCCAAACACCTTCCCCAACAGGCACCCCTTTACCCTTAAGCAGCTTCCCCAACAGGCACCCCAGGGCCAGGGCCACAGCAATGACTTTCTATGAGCTTTCAAAGCTGCCGTTTGCCAGCCCGCAAAGGCTCCAAACGCCTCCAAAATTCCAAACCCCCAGGGCCAGGGCCACAGCAATGAGACTTTTTATGAATTTCAAAGCTGCCGTTTGCTAGCCCGCAAAGGCTCCAAACTTTCCAAAACAAAATTCCAAACACCTTCCCCAACAGGCACCCCAGGGCCAAGGCCACTTCCCCAACAGGCACCCCACGGCCAGGGGGCCACTTCCCCAACAGGCACCCCAGGGCCAGGCCACAGCAATGGCTTTCTTAGGCTTTCAAAGCTGCCGTTTGCCAGCCCGCAAACCCTCCAAAACTCTCCAAACCCTCCAAACCCTCCAAACCCTCCAAAACCCGCCAAACCCTCCAAAAACCGTCCCCAGCAGGCACCTCAGATCCACCGCAGGTGTGGACCTTGTCCTCTTCCAAACCCTCCAAACCTTTACCCTTAAGCAGCTTCCCCAACAGGCACCCCAGGGCCAAGGCCACAGCAATGACTTTCTATGAGCTTTCAAAGCTGCCGTTTGCCAGCCCGCAAAGGCTCCAAACGCCTCCAAAATTCCAAACCCCCAGGGCCAGGCCACAGCAATGAGACTTTTTATGAATTTCAAAGCTGCCGTTTGCTAGCCCGCAAAGGCTCCAAACTTTCCAAAACAAAATTCCAAACACCTTCCCCACAGGCACCCCAGGCCAAGGCCACTTCCCCAACAGGCACCCCAGGGCCAGGCCACAGCAATGGCTTTCTTAGGCTTTCAAAGCTGCCGTTTGCCAGCCCGCAAACCCTCCAAAACTCTCCAAACCCTCCAAACCCTTCCAAAACCCGCCAAACCCTCCAAACACCGTCCCCAGCAGGCACCTCAGATCCACCGCAGGTGTGGACCTTGTCCTCTTCCAAACCCTCCAAACCTTTACCCTTAAGCAGCTTCCCCAACAGGCACCCCAGGGCCAGGGCCACAGCAATGACTTTCTATGAGCTTTCAAAGCTGCCGTTTGCCAGCCCGCAAAGGCTCCAAACGCCTCCAAAATTCCAAACCCCCAGGGCCAGGGCCACAGCAATGAGACTTTTTATGAATTTCAAAGCTGCCGTTTGCTAGCCCGCAAAGGCTCCAAACTTTCAAAACAAAATTCCAAACACCTTCCCCAACAGGCACCCCAAGGCCAAGGCCACTTCCCCAACAGGCACCCCAGGGCCAGGCCACAGCAATGGCTTTCTTAGGCTTTCAAAGCTGCCGTTTGCCAGCCCGCAAACCCTCCAAAACTCTCCAAACCCTCCAAACCCTCCAAAACCCGCCAAACCCTCCAAACACCGTCCCCAGCAGGCACCTCAGATCCACCGCAGGTGTGGACCTTGTCCTCTTCCAAACCCTCCAAACCTTTACCCTTAAGCAGCTTCCCCAACAGGCACCCCAGGGCCAGGGCCACAGCAATGACTTTCTATGAGCTTTCAAAGCTGCCGTTTGCCAGCCCGCAAAGGCTCCAAACGCCTCCAAAATTCCAAACCCCCAGGGCCAGGGCCACAGCAATGAGACTTTTTATGAATTTCAAAGCTGCCGTTTGCTAGCCCGCAAAGGCTCCAAACTTTCCAAAACAAAATTCCAAACACATTCCCCAACAGGCACCCCAGGGCCAAGGCCACTTCCCCAACAGGCACCCCAGGGCCAGGGCCAAGGCCACTTCCCCAACAGGCACCCCAGGGCCAGGCCACAGCAATGGCTTTCTATGGGCTTTCAAAGCTGGCTTTCTTAGGCTTTCAAAGCTGCCGTTTGCCAGCCCGCAAACCCTCCAAAACTCTCCAAACCCTCCAAACCCTCCAAAACCCGCCAAACCCTCCAAACACCGTCGCGGTGCTTCAGCAATGCTTAGACCAACAGGTTGAAAAAAAGGTGATGACTTGAAGCAAAATTCGGTGCCCTCAGCCAGTCTTTGATCCACCCGTGGCTTATTCTACCTAGAAACTCTTTCGGGATTTCTTTTCTGCCGGATGCCAAATTTTCTGCCAAATTTATGCCCGGAAATTTCAGGAATCCTGGAAACTACGCCGGAATCATGTGCAATGAAGCCGGCTGGAAAAAAAACATGTATATGTATATCCGCCGACCCCGGTCGACCGCAAGGGGGAGCGCGTCAGGGAAGAGAGGTTGTGGACACCAAGAAATACAACAACGGGTCACGGATCAGCAGCAGCAGCAAAAGCCTCTGCAGCAGCAGGAGGAAAAGGTAGCCAAAATTCATAGCAGCAGCAAGAGGGAAAAGTAACCAAAATCATCATTTTCTATGCGTTTTCGCTAGGCATTTACGGGGTGCAATTTTGGGGTTTCTCCGTCCTTCACTGCCATGGTGTTTTCCCATCCGGGGACCAGCAGCAGCAGCAGCAGCAAAAGCTTCTGCAGCAGCAGGAGTAGGCAGCAGCAGGCAGCAGCCAGCACCAGCAGCAAAAGCCTCTGCAGCAGCAGGAGTAGGCAGCAGCAGGCAGCAGCCAGCACCAGCAGCCAGCAGCAGGCAGGAAAAAACATGAGGTTACAATGACAGTCCTAAAAACGGAGGGTCCTTGACACTCAAAGTATATATCAATCCATCCGTCTTTCTTCCTATGCCACTATCTATCTATCCAACAATCGATCTACCCATCTGTTTATCCAACTGTCTATCTACCTATCTGTCATCTATCTCTCTCTCTCTCTCTCTTTCTCTCTCTCTCCCTCTCTCTCTCTCTCTGTCCCTCTATCTATACATCTGTCCAACAATATCTATCCACCTGTTTATCAAGCTGTCTATCTACCTATCTATCAATCTATCTCTCTCTCTCTCTCTATCCCTCTATCTATCCATCAATCTATCATCTATTCACATGTCTACCTGTCTGTCTGTCTGTCTGTCTGTCTCTCTATCTATCCATCCATCCATCCATCCGTCCATCCGTCCATCCATCCATCCATCCATCCATCCATCCATCCCCATCCATCTATCCATCCATCCATCTCTCCCTCTCCTCTCTCTCTCTCTCTCTCTCCCCTCTCTCTCTCTCTCTCTCTCTCTCCCCCCACAGTCCCCCCCAAATAGAGGGGGGTCGGCGGCACCTGGGCGCTAGCCCATTCTATAATTTTCAGAAAATTCCCAAATTATCAAAATTTCCAATATTAAATTGTAAAGAAGAAAATTGAGATTTAGTATGGATGCAGCAGGAAAAAATCAAAACCAGTTACAGTTCAGCTGTATTTTTTCCCTTCTTCCTTAGTGTTTTTCATTGTGGTTGAATGGTTTTTAATTGTGATTGCATGTTTTTTTCAAAAGCAAAAACAAAGCAAACCTTTACCAAATCAAAAACTTCACCTTGTTCAAAAAAGTTGTTTTCTTTATTAAAATCATTTTAAAAAAATCCAAAAAACAGGTCCACAAAGGGTACCCCCTTGCAGGTCCTTGCATTTGCAATTAAAAACTGGAATTAGCACTTGCAAGAAACAACCTTCCTGACTCTAGCAGGCATTTTTTTCCCCTTCTTCCTATCAGAATCCAATGAAGATCCCATCAGAGCCCATCAGAAAAGAGAGGATTTGTCAAAACCTTACAGAAGCCTTTGGGGAAGAGTTGGGATTTTCGATTTACTATTGCAAAGCAGACCCCCCCCCAAAAAAAAAATATATATACTATCAGGGGGGACCCCCCTTTACTATTGTCGATGTAACATTATTGGACACTCCCTCTTTTGAAATGGTCTTTGCAGGATCATTTCCCTTTCCCAAGTTCAGCTGGTTTCACTGTGGCCGCTCACCTCCCAATCCAATGGCATCCCATAGCACACCCCGCATCCAAGCTGAGCATCTGGTTGGAAGTGCGCCGTGACCATGGAATCCATGAGCGCCAACACGGTGTTCCACCTAAGGTCACAGGTTCTGTAATCCGATTCCGCTCAGCCCTTAGTATATCCTCCAGGAAGCAAACATGGTCATGGAAAATGGCCATGTTGAAAAGGGAAATCTACAAATGGGATCAAATGAGTCATGTTGCCGCATGCCTATATCGAAGTACCAGGGGGAAGCCAACTGAGCAGTGTGCAAAACCCGAAATGCCGTTCCATCGTACTGCTTGGCTACGAACAGGATTCGTAGCTCATGGATGATGATAATACTTGATGTACTGATAATATTTAACCTCTATAATCATCAAACATCCATCATGTATCGGTACATGACCATATGTTTGATGGTTAACCCCGGTAACCCCCTACAAATCATGGAAACCCCATATAAATATGAATATAAATATATATATATAAATCATGGGCAACCCTACCAATCATGGTTTTAATCCGCATGAAACAACGAATGAACCAGGGCAAAATGCACACTGATCTCCTCTGCCGGGTCACTGCTCCGCTTTCCTTGTGAGGATTAGGGGGCTATCCGTTGGTTGGGAAACTGATACGGTAAACCATCCACGTTCCATAGCTATGTTGAATTAACGGAGGCTAAATCCTGTCATCCAAGCTGGGGAAATCCAACTCATATGAATAAGCTGAGAATAAGTTGGAATGTTTGCTGAATGAGTACGGTTGATTAATATGGTACCTGAAAACGATGTATGTACTTGAACTCAGGTCGGTTTCCATGGGACAGGCCGTTTCCAATAGTAGAGGTCACATGCTGGTGTGATTATTCAAAGTACCCTGAAACATAATCTATCAAGCTTTATTGACCCGGTTGACATGATCCAACTTCCCTTAGTATCAAATCCAAATCATTTCTGTCCATGTACGTACTATATGGCCATTATTCACCTATCCATAACATACGAACTGGATCGAATTGGCGGGATACTTTGATGGCATTTGGGAAAAAACATGGGCTTGTTCAAAAACATGAAAGGGTCTATGCTCGCAATTCTCAATTCGCCCCTTTTATTAAAACTTGTTTTTTATTGAGGGTGCACGGTATGCCCCGTCGTCGTCTTTAAAGCCACCATGGTGCCATCCACCTCTGGTGAAGCCAAGCCACGCACAACTGCTGAGGCATGAATTCCAGGTGATCAAACTTGGGATGCGAACGGTTTGGTCCATGATGTGGAGCCTGAAAGGTCTTGCGGAATGGGGATGTTGGGGAAGGGTTGGGGAAGGTTTGGGGATGAGGGAACCTGCAGGTGAAGAAGAGCTAATATTCAATTCACACGTGTCACTATCTTCACCAAAAGGGGTCTTCAGATGATTGAAGCACATTGAAGTATTACACTTATTCCTTACACTTGGATGTCAAATGGGATACTTGAAAATGGGCTTATCCCAAAAATCCCAGCCCTCGTGACACTACCTTGGAAAGGTAGTAATCGAGCTCGGTGGAACATCCCTCTAGGGAAAAGTCATTTATGGGAAGGCAATGAACTCAATGAATAATTATATAGGTTGATTTATTTTGGTATCTCTCCATAGTGGATTTTGCCGAACCAGATTAGAATGATTGATGCCCAAACTGGAACCATTTTAACCATGCTTAGCTCCAAAGTTTAGTAGGTCCAACGGATGTAAACCTAGGACTTATTTTCTATCCTATTTTTGCATTTTCCTCTTCATTGTCTCAATCCTAGGAACAAGGATTTTCCCAGAGACATGGATCCAGCGGCCAGGCAACGCGACTTGCCATGCCCCTGCTTCCTCACAAGAATTGATGGCCGCATTCAGCGTGATGGTGTTGGCTTCCTTCTGCTCATGTGGATAGGTCATCATATGTCATATGGGGATGACCTCTGTCTATATATATATACACTCACCCCCAAAAAATAGGTTTTAGATATTGGTTTCATTGAAATTACCGATCAAAGATTGTGATTGAATGGTGGTTTAAAATGGTTTAACCATCAAAAATGGTGATTTAATGTCGATTTAAACATCAAACATGGTGATTTGATAGTAAGCTCACTAACAAGCATGAAAAATGACACATGTGATTTTATCTTATCAGCAAAATTGGAAGTACAAATAGGAAATGATTATCCAATCACCAAAAATGAGTATACATGGGGTTATTAATGATTAGGGCATACGAAGGAACAAGTACCCCGCGCCGTGATACTCCCAATAACAAGGGTTTGGGGTGGGGCAAAACTTAAGAATCTTAACATACAGTAACATTTTGGGGTCACCAGAATGTCCCAATGTGGAACATGGGAAGTGCAGGGAACATCATCCATAAATGCATAATTTTCTATTGCCATGTTTGATTACCAGTAGGAGGTCTAGTAGTCTGGGCAGGGACAGGATGAACATGAGAACATGGAGCCACGCAGAGCTCGGCATCTCTGAGGGAGGAGTTGTTTGGAATCAAAATATAATGATTACATATAGCAACTCCAAAGAGGATACAAACAACGGAAAGCTGAAGCATATGGAGAACACAAAATCTATACAATCTTGGACAAACTTTGCGGGGGTTGCTATCGGGAATGTATGGATCAATCGTGCTTTCTTTCAAAGAGTTCCCCGGCTGGGCGTATTGTTTAAATATGTTTAAATCATTTAGGAGCCCGAACATTGACAAAAAACTCGCGAGTGCAAGGATATTTCTTCAATCCTGCAAGGTGATGATCACTGAGGGTGTCCACCAATCAATTGAGTGAAATAAAATAACCCACTAACATCCGAATCAACGAGTTTGAAGGTATGTTCCTTCCTTCTAACTTGTAGTTTTTGGGGAAATTCATGTTAGATTAGACAAATTTCTGGCAGTACGCGTCATGGCACATGGTTCCAGATCAAGTTTCGCAGCGCAGCTGCTCCATTGTCTGCAAGAGATTCAAGGACCTCACGACCGGAATCGGTGGTTCCCATGAATTTGTATATAATAGACACTAAAATGCATAAAGTATATACACACATACATACATACATACATACATACATACATACATATATATATATATAGAGTATATATATATTATACTGTGTTCTCTGTACAGCGAATTCATATTTACAGTATAGTCTAATCACGAGAATCTTGGGATATGTATGTACGTGGAAAATAGTTCAGTATCGGTGTAGAAATGGTTAAATTCCATCGGATATCCCATGCAAGATTCTGCAAGATCCCGCTGATGCTTGGGCTGAGTACCCAAGTACTGAGGGGTGACTGAGGTTTCCTAAAAAAGGAGGGGTACCCCAAAATCATCCAAGTCATTAGGCTATTAAAAATTTTAGTGTTGAAAGCTATGGTGACTTGGGGATCCCCCATTTCAAGAAACTTCCATATGTGCTAACTTAGGTGATAATCCCAACAGCACATCCCACTGCCCAGCCACTGCATACACTGATCAGCAAGGACTCCAGGTTGGAGGGTTCAACCGGAAAAAAAAAAACTTTTATAGTTCAAAGAGTCAAAATATAAAATCATGACTCAAGGTTACCAACTATAACTATATGATTGAACTCATTTTTTACTGTTAACTAGTTAGTAACTAGTTGACTATGTCACCATAAGTCATCACAAAACTAAGCTCTTTCGGCAACTCAGGTGCCAAGTACCTGCCCAAGTTCTTTTCGGCAGAACTGCTGATGCGTTGGGAAATGAAGTTGTTGATTTCACTGCTGTCCCGTGTGAGTTGACGATTCACCATCATGTTATAAAATGAAACTTCCAATCCATGGGGGTACCCCTGGATCATCCATTTTAAATGGATTTACCATGATAAACCAACATAAACCAACCAATTTGATCCAATTTGATCCATTTTGGGGATCCCCCATGGCACCCCCCTTTTCTCGGCCTTGTTCCCCGCCGTTACCGGTGCCAAGTCGCCAAGTCCACGTTGGGCACTCAGATCTTTTCAGCAGGGAGCCGAATGTGATGACATCAATCCTGGCGGGTGAAGCGCCAAGCGATGACCAGCAGCATGACGTTGGTCAACATCATCACCCAACAAAGACCAGCAGCATGACAAACATCACCATCATCATAATCAAACAATAATAATAAACATGAAAAGCATCATTGCCATCATCATGATAATCTTCATCACCACCTTCACCATCACCACCATCATCACCATCATCATAAAAATAAGAACAATCACCATGATAATCATAATCATAATCATATTCATAATCATCATCATCGTCATTATCATAATCATCAAAATCATCATCATAATCATCAGCATCAGCATCAGCATCATCATCATCATCATCATCATCATCATCATCTTCATCAAAAAAAACAGCAATAACAACCACAATGATAATCATAATCATGGTCATAATCATCATCATCATCAGCATCATCAGCATCATCAGCATCATGCTTTCTAAAACTGTGACACCGGAAATCTTGAGCCCTAACGGACTCCCTTCGATCACTGTCAACTGTCAACTTCATATTTGCAACTTGATGTGAACTACCTAAAATATCCTAAAATGTGGTTTACAATGTTGTAGACTACACAGACATGTGCCAAAAACACACAAATCAGCCATCAAGCAGCCATGAAAAGAACAAACTTACCCAAATCTTTAGAAACAAGCTTCTGTAATGCGGAGATGTAGAAAGCCTCCATCATTGCCGTGGCACTCTGCCATCTCCCCGCTTCGTTCAGGGCAGCGATGCCTCCGGCTCATGAGGAACTGAGAATCATAGATATCAACAAGGCTTGGACGGTGGTTCCAAAAGAGTGCCCCCCCCCCCCCACATCCTCCAAAGACAATTTTGGTATTGAAACTTGAAACCCATGGGCTTGGGGTACCCATTCATTCATTTTGGGAAATAATCTCTGCAACACTTGTCGATGGTAATTAGCCAACGCATGATGTTCTCTCTGGGGAAGTTTCGAGTCAAGGGATCGGTTTAGTACCATTGCAGATTAATTGTTCGATGCGGTGTGCCACGGGGCACGCCTGTATATGCTGGTGAAACACCTGGTGAGAAAAAGGGATGCCAATCAAGCGTAACACGTTTGGCAATTGTAATGACATGTCAGCATCGCACATGTGTATAATATATATATATATTATGTATTTATATATATATGGACATGATTGGTACATGTCAAGGTGTGCACATCTGTCAAATTGCTATGTGAGTCCACATCACCACCTTCTGGCAGAAAACATGGTCGCCGAGGGGCTCAAAACAAGCTATAGCGCAGTGGTCGCCATAAGGTCCATGGCAAAGTAGTAAAGTGGTCATTTTTTAAAGAAAACAAACCAACTCTCCACCAGTCAGCTTACAAAGCTTACCCTTTTAACACAAGCCCTACCAGCCGAGCACCTGCATTGACACATGCCACGTTGGCGCTACTCCCTCCAGCACCACAGAGGAACTGCAAGGAACTTTGCCAGTTCCGCCGGCAAGTGCCTAGATGGCCCAGCGGTGATCATGGCTCCATCGCTTTCGTGGAATGCTTGATGAATAGAACTTCTGACTAGCAATTACTATTACAGGTAAAATTGCTAAAATTGCTAGAGATATCACTTATGCAAGTAGAAATGACTGGGGCAAGCATCATAAGTCATACCGTCCGCTCAAATCTAGCCGGATCTAGCCGGCGAGGTGAATGGTTGTTCTGCGTTTGAACCAGAAACGACACACACAATATACATATATAATTATAAATATATAATATTTACACATATATATATATATATAAATCTCTATACCTATACTTATATATTTATATTTGGCTAGAGAAATCAATAGCTTTCTGTTGCCAGGTCCTTCCTTCCTGAAGGAAGCCTCCACCCACCCTGACTGCTGGACCATGGGCTGATGGCAATGCTGTGGCAAAAGTCATCCGCTTCCAGGGTATGGCATTTCAAGTCCTGCCCACATCCCTTCCGTCGTCGGACAAGGTGGATACCCTCAAAATGGCATTGCTTTACATTGATTGCAAGAGGGACCAAATAAACTAAACCATCCCCAGTTTCACCACTTACAGTAAATGGATTCCCAATTAGTTGATGATTGGATTTACATACATATAATATCAAATAAATATATATATATATACATATGGTGTCTACATGGGTTTGCCACATTACTACTACCAGAGCCTTAAAAAAAAAAAATGTCGTTTTCGTCGGAAAAAAAGCGATGGCTTTCCGCCGCGCCTGAAAGGTCTGAAGTGACAAGGCCCAGTTCTCCAAAGAACTGAGGTAAGCTGCTGCAGTGTTGCCTGGCAACACCACTGCAGGGACATGAATGTTTCTGACATTCATGGTGTCAGGTGTTCCTGTACAGTAATGTAATGTAATGTAGTGTAGTGTGCTGAGTGCTGCCATGAGTACGTATATATAATATATATAATATATAATAAATATATATATATATATATGTAATATACAATATATATATATTAATATATACACCATTTGCCGCGGAACATGCATGCAAAGATGAATTTGTGCACATTTTTTGGAGTTGACTGTTCTCTGTGTTATCTGTGGCAAATGCATTTCAAGGACTGAATAAATGGGCGCTACGGACAACCACTGGCCAGCCAGCAACACATCTGTAGCCAAGCTTCTGTAGCTTGTGACCTGGGTCAACAGAAAAAGAGCTTTGAAAGGGAGGCCCAATTCCCCAATCTGTATTCATTATGATATATATCCATCCTTCCGATGATCTTATCATCGGGTATCATATTGATCATAGCCCAGTATGCGTTGTCATTGTGGTTCCAATATTGATATTAACGAACCACGGGTTTAGTAATAGGGGGTACCAATGATACTAGTATGCGATGGAATCAATATTTATCAATATTTTGGTGGTGAACCCGTAACACGCCTAATAAATCAACCAAGGTTGTTGATCGGGGGTTGACATTGAATCTTGGGAACTGGCTGTTGGATGGGTACACTGAAGGAATAAACTGGCGATTCTATAATAAATAACTGCTACATAATCTGATTGGAGGTTTCAACCCATCTGGGAAATTACTTTACTTCGTGTGATCCCCACCATGACATTTATACATTTTCTTACTGGCAAATCTTCTGGCATTCTATCTGACATATCTTCTGACATTCTATTTGGCATTCTATCTGGCATATCTTCTGGCATATGATCTGGCATATCTTCTGGCATACCTTCTGGCATTCTATCTGGCAAATCTTCTGCCATTCTATCTGGCATATCTTCTGGCACTCTATCTGACATATCTTCTGGCATTCAATCTGGCATTCTATCTGGCATATCTATCTGGCATATCTTCTGGCATATTTTCTGGCATTCTATCTGGCAAATCTTCTGGCATTCTATCTGGCATTCTATCTGGCATATCTTCTGGCATTCTATCTGGCATATCTTCTGGCATATATTCTGACATATCTTCTGGCATTCTATCTGGCATTCTATTTGGCATTCTATCTGGCATATCTTCTGGCATATCTTCTGATATTTTTTCTGACATTCTTTCTAACTTTCTTCTGCACATTCTTTGTCCCATATCTTCCTACATGAGGTCCGGCAGGGAAAGATTTGCCAGGTAGAATGCCAGAAAATATGCCAGAAGATATGCCAGAAGATATTCCAGAAGATATGCCAGATAGAATGCCAGATAGAATGCCAGAAGGTATGCCAGATAGAATGCCAGAAGATCTGCCAGATATAATGCCAGAAGATCTGCCATATAGAATGCCAGAAGATATGCCAGATAGAATGCCAGATAGAATGTCAGAAAAGATGTCAGATAGAATGTCAGAAGATATGCCAGATAGAATGCCAGAAGATATGCCAGATAGAATGCCAGAAGATATGTCAGAATATATGCCAGATAGAATGCCAGAAGATATGCCAGATAGAATGCCAAATAAAATGTCAGAAGATATGTCAGAAGATATGTCAGGGAACAGTTGGCATGGATACTCGCGGTTGAGGTCCGGCAGGGAACACTGGGCGCGGATGGTCGTGGTTGAGGTCCGGCAGGGAACACTGGGTGCGGATGGTCGTGGTTGAGGTCCGGCAGGGAACACTGGGCGTGGATGGTCGTGGTTGAGGTCCGGCAGGGAACACTGGGCGTGGGTGGTCGTGGTTGAGGTCCGGCAGAGAACACTGTGGATCGCGGATCGCAGTTGAGCAAGGACGACGAGGACGACAAGGACGACAAGGATGACAAGGAGGACGAGGAGGAGGAGGACGAGGCAGGAGGAGGCGGAGGAGGCGGAGGAGGAGGAGGAGGAGGAGGCAACTGACATAAAATCTAACAACCCTCACCTGGCAGGTGGGGAAAAAACAACTTAGTCATTCATTGTGGATAAGCTTCCTAAAAATGGTTAAACATTAAATAAATGCACAAACGCACCAACCAGTTCACATCCCCATTGGTGGTTAACATCACCACTTTCCACCACATTTACTCCAGCTGGTGGTTGATTAAACCAAATCTGGAGCTGGTGATTTAGGGTTGCTCCCAACACCCCAAATACTAGAGGTCAGACGATTGGGCAAATAAAACGGACAAATCGCGTGTTTTCCGTCCTTGTGGCTATGACAAATGGGGACATGCTTTTGGATTCTGAAAGATGCTAAAGCCATCCATTCTGAAATCATCCCCGATGTTGCCAGAATGGGTCGGTATTACGCGTTCAAAATTTAGGGGGGTTCATGGGATTGGGTTTGCCACATGATTCACACGATACATGTTTATCGGGTGTATTCATTCCATCACCACTTTTGGTTGATTAAATCCCTTGTTCTTGATGGTTATTTGTTGGTTACTTAACTTAAATCCCCTGTTCTTGGTGGTTATATACTGTAACTTTTCTATGTTCTTAATGGGTGTATTCTCATTGTATCCCTATGGAATCCACATTTGAGTTGAGATGCTTAAATCCCCATGTATGCTGGTTGATATTAGGAGTGTTCATCCCCAGTTACTCACCAAATCAATCCAAATCAAAATTGGTTTAAACAATTGAAGCCTATATATATATATATGTGTAATTCTATATGTCTATCTCCCGTTTACACCACCATTTTGGTTGGTCAAATCAGTTCAGCATAGTTCAGCCACCAGTTAAGCCACAGCTATTGCTTCACCAGCTGGTGACCTCCTCATCAGCCAAGCTTCCTCCAGCTGCAGCTGCATCTGTCGCATGGCCTTCAGCAGGGAGACACCCAAGGTCCAGCACTGACAGGCGCTGATGGCGGCGTGGCAAGCGCCCTGACAGCGTTGAAACAACGAGGACGCGCAACGGGGACGCGTTACGGGGTGCGAAGCCCACGACGCCCAAAAGAAGGCCGGGAAAACGGGAGGTTTCCGAGCAAGTCAAAAGGAATTCACATGAATTCACATGAAATCTACCAATCAGAATTGAGACTTGATATGATTTCAAGATGATTTGCTATCCAAAATATAGGAGCATGCAGCACCTGTTGGCTCATCCCAGGATTTTCAATTTAGGCCAATATAAAGAATATCTATATATATATATATATATAGAGCATATAAGGAACGTAGGGGCAATATGCATTTCTAAATTCGGTCAACTAACCCACTTACTCATTGGAGTGAAGCAACAAGCAGGGATTTCAGCAAATTTATCCTTCAAAAGAGGGACTCAATATGATCAATATGATTGTTCTCATTTTATCACAAGAAACGATAGTCAACTGGGTTGGATTGAGGGAAACATTGCGGTTGACCCCTTGGTTTCAGCATCATCCAAGGTGCAAGTCAATGCCACTAAATATGGCCCACAATTTTATCAAAATTGATGTGCTTTTCAGGGGTTTAACGAGCCAAATATATAGGAGTCATTCATTGGGTGCAAAATGCAATTCACAGGAAATTGGTCTTAAGATGTGAAACAATACCTTCAAATTAAGCATGATCATGAAAGGGTACCACAATCAAAAAAACATCATAATCACATGGAGTTTACATGGAACGAACTACGAACCATCAATAATATTTGGGGTCGCAACCTAGTAACGACCATGCGTGCATCTACAAGCAATGGCTATGTGACGATCATACCACCCTGGCGAACGGGAAGTTCAAAGGCCTTTTCAGAGCACTATAATCCTACTTAGACTCGTGTTGATTACTGCTGTGCCCAATATGAAATCTGGTACCGGCGCTGATAGCGGACTCGGTGTTTTTAATGATTTTTATTTCAAGCATTATGCATGGATTTGTTTAAAACTGTGGCGCTGTGATGATTTTGTTATTTTACCCAGAATTAGAAATGTTGTTTTCGTCCCACGTTACGCTAGGAATTTACTCATTGATCATTGAATTCTATTGGGATAAATAATTGACAAATGTGGATTTTGGAAAACGAAACCTCCACAGCTTTTGAAGCTCGACTTTTTTCCTTCATGGATTCAGCGTTTGCGTTTGCTGACCTTTGCGCACAAGTTGGCGAGGCTTCCTTTCAAGTCCTCCTTGTGGATTCAACGATAGGCGAAGGACCACACATATTGTCGGATCCTTTGAGAACCCTTCCTGGTAACTTTGTCTTTGCTATGGGCCGAGAAGGGTACGAAGTGACAAGAGACATGTTACAGCGTAGCATCCAGAGCGTCTGGCAAGTGACAAGAGACATGTTACAGCGTAGCATCCAGAGCGTCTGGCAAGTGACAAGAGACATGTTACAGCGTAGCATCCCGAGCGTCTGGCAAGTGACAAGAGACATGTTACAGCGTGGCATCCAGAGCGTCTGGCAAGTGACAAGAGACATGTTACAGCGTGGCATCCAGAGCGTCTGGCAAGTGACAAGAGACATGTTACAGCGTAGCATCCAGAGCGTCTGGCAAGTGACAAGAGACATGTTACAGCGCACCCCTTGTCCCCCCACCCCACCCGGTTCCCCAAGAAAATCACACTATCCTTCGTGCAATACTTTTAACTGACGTGCAATACTTCTAACTGACGTGCAATACATCTAACTAACGGGCAATACTTCTAACTGACGTGCAATACATCTAACTAACGGGCAATACTTCAAACTGACGTGCAATACTTCTAACTAACGGGCAATACTTCTAACTGACGTGCAATACATCAAAATTAACGGGCAATACTTCAAACTGACGTGCAATACTTCTAACTAACGGGCAATACTTCAAACTGACGTGCAATACTTCTAACTAACGGGCAATACTTCTAACTGACGTGCAATACTTCTAACTAACGGGCAATACTTCTAACATACGTGCAATACTTCTAACTAACGGGCAATACTTCTAACATACGTGCAATACTTCTAGCTAACGGGCAATACTTCTGACTGCCGTGCAATGCGATAGGGAAAAAAAACAGCATTGCCTGCGGGTCCGTTAACAGCGCCGGTAGCTGAAAGCTATGGAAAATGGAGAAAGGATTTGGACGTGCAACGGGGGTGTCACGGGGCTGCAACTTTGTTTACAATGACTTTAAACTGCCAAAATATGGATCCATATGATGGAGACGGTACTGCATGGTTCAACCAACCCGCATCATATCATCATCCCAAAAGAAAGCTGGCAGCACATATACCAGTTGTCAGGGGCCAAGCCGGGGCCATTTATAAGTCACAACATGTCATAATTAACATGCATAACCACGAACTTCTAGGACTCCAATTTCTCGTCCCAGCTGGCACCTGGTTCTTGGTGATCTCGTTGTGATGCATTGATTCCAGCAAATTCATTGCCTTGTTGGGATTCGCAACGGAACGCGGATTTTTCAAGGTTGTTTTTGCACACCCGTTGGCACCAAGAATGCCAAAAAGCATGTTCGCATGAATGTATAAATATATTTATACATTAATATACATTAATATACATTAATATGTATACATATACATGGGTATTACATGGGTATGAATGCATGGAATGAGATGGAGTGAGTCTAAATACTGCAGGTAGACTACGCCTTTTGAACTTCACATAAATTCATATAAATTCACACCGCTGTGACTGTGCCTGCTGTTTTCACTTTGTCTGCTCTTTGAAATCGAGCCTGGGTATCCTTTACACAGGGGGAGAGTCATGTTTGAGACCCAATTGCATAACCGGTGCTTGACGACATGACGTGTGTCTCTTTACTCTCACCACATCTGCTGTAAGCACTAGCTCGTGGTTTTACATCATCCGAGAGACACACTCGTGTGGAACGCTAAATCTCACCAGGCAACATGGAGCCACTCTTGTTGCCAAGCAGTGCCGAAGAGAACGCAGCGATAATGCACCTCTGGCAAAAAACCGCTGCAGCTGCTCAGCATCGCAATTCCAGAAAGGACATGTCAATGCGAATGGGGCTATCGTTTGGGAAGGAGGGCTACAAGCCTCCAAAACATGTTTGAAACAGGTGTTGTCATTTTTTAGCCTCCAGTAAATTAACATAGACCCTGGCTAATAGGGGTTGGAAAATAGTTTCCACTGAAAATGGTTCATTTTCAGGCTCTATGTTAATTTATTAGAGAGTAAACTACCATCAAAAATTACTCACCATCACCTACCATCACTCACCATCAACACCCGATCATCACCCAGAGTCCCCCTCCCTGACCTCGCTAGGATGCAAGAAACAGGCACGTACAAATTCACTCAAAAAAGCCCCGGCAAAACAAAGACCATCCCCATATTTCTCTATCAAACATAATAAACACGTATAGAATCCATAAAATCATGTATACACTAGATCCAACCAAGGTCCAAGGGTTCTGGGTAGGTATCGAATATCATACATCAAGTACCCCTATAGTCGCCAGTGTAGCGTATAGATCCAACCTTCCCATTTAATATCTAATGAATCTAATCATCTACTAATCTCATCCTCCTAAGATGAAATAATCAACCCCCACAAGCTGTCGTTTAGTTGGGACTTTACACTTATTTGGGACCATAAGGAGTGTTAAATATTGGGAGGGTGTGAGTAACAAGCCTAGGCGTTCCCAAGAATATGAAAGTATTCCCCATTAGATTCCAACGTGTGTAGATATTCCGCATACTCCCTACCTTTTTGGCAACCAATTATACACACTGCTCTCCCATAGTGAGCCAACTTTGTTTATACTTCCAAATATTAACAAGGGTTCATGGTAAATATATCTATAATATGTATATACTTTTGAATACATATATCTATAGATTGTTTTTTACTTTTCATCGGGTCAGCCTGTATGTCACTGTTGTCTTACAAAGCCGCTCCCAGCTACTTGCACACATGTAGAAACCAAGTGCAACATGAAAACAGAAAAATCAAGTATCATCAGTTACCCATAGGAAGGGCAATCAAGAACAACAACTGAACAAAAAAAACATGAAGACACAACTGTGGACCAAAGAAAGTACAAACATATGAATGAGTCCTTGATTCAAATGATCATCTTGAACAGCACATATCGATACATGTGATTCAATAGTGTGAAATATAAGATTCTATCAGTTATATACATAAAATACCGTATTATACAGTTAAAGTATCTATAGTGTTGTATTATATCATTTTTATCAATATCATATATAGCTGTATGAGTTATTGACAAGCACAGAAATGGGTGACACCATTGGTGCAGACTTCGTTGGCAAGTGATGCAAGCAGGGGAGGCAAGGGCCAGAATTCGCTGCTTTCTGCCGCAGTGCTGAACGCTTCAGTGTGCAGTGTAGCAAAAAAATATGATTTATTTGTTATTAGATACAGTATATTATGTAGTCATAAACCAACAAACATCGCTGGTGACTGAATGGCCCGCCTCGTCCAGCCTCACAGCGAGCTTTCTCATCTGCTGCATCAGATGCAGGGCGCCCTGGAGCTGGCCTCGACGGAGATTTCGCATGGGAGAGTCATGGAAAAATCATGGGAAAAAACATCTATAATTGATTTGGAATGAATGGACACAAATAACAAAATAATGTAAAATTGACATAAATGGAGGCAAATGGATTTCTATATGGCAAAAAGTCACCCTTACAATGTATAAGTAACAAATGAGGTAATTGGGGGTGAATGGACATGGATGATGGATGGAATATATAAACAGCTAAATACAACACATCAATCGATCATATTATGGATACAAATGGAAATAAGTGTCATTGCAAGTTTTTCTGTAAGTACCAAATTCATTTCAAACATGCCTAAACATTGAACCCAAAGAAATGCCGGGAATTCAAACAGTTTAAATTCAATGGACATCCCTCAGCAAAACTCGTGGCATCAATGGTGGGTGACTTTTTGGGTTTGAAGTCGAAGTTGAGATCTGAAAGTCTGAAACTCCTGCAGAACCACAGTTGTTAGCACTCCAACATCTACAGAGAAACGGTTTCTGCACTTCTTCAGTTGTTTGGGGATTCAGTCAATCCCTCAAAGGTGACTACCCCCAATAATGTCAAGTTTTATGGATAAGGCAAGTCTTTACCCATCGACAACCATAACATTTATCATTGGGCTGGGGCCACCGACGTTGGGGAGCCCCATGATATCCCAACCTACCCCCAGTGTGATTGGGTTTTGCAGCCTGGTAACGCTGCTCAAAGCGCCATTTCAAGCCGTTCATAGATTAACATCCCCATGATTTCCCATGCCTTTTCACCAAGGTTGAAACCACACAAATTGCGGACTCCAAAGTTCATGAGAGCTCCGTAAGCCATCATAAACCACCATGAACCATCAGCACCTCTGGTCGGGTGACCTCCTCGGGTCAACTTGGTCAAGACCTTGGTGCCTTCCCGCGCGTTCGTGGGGACCGTCATGGGGGCCATGGCCAGGACGGCCAAGACTGCCTGACGCCCAGGGATTTTCGGTCACCTCGAAGGGTCCAGAGAAGCTGAAGGCGAGCAGGTTCACTAGTGGCAACTTTATTGGAAACCATAATTTTTTCGCATCACATCTGGGGGGTTCCTTTGACTCTGCCAGCAGCAGGGAAAAAAATCAATATCTAACAGCACGGAACGAAAAACAGTTTATATATATATATATACGATTATATATATACATACACATGTGTGCGTGTTTCATACAATAGAAGATAATATAATATACAATAATCATGTTCCAGTCTCGTTTTGAGGGGTCTACATAAGTCAGCTTCCAAGCGGCAAATGACCAGTGACATCTCTCATAAACATGTCCATCACCTGACTTAAGTCTTGTGTCAACCCTCCCTTTTACGTGATCATCGGACATCACCATCCCAGGATATAAAATCAATACATAGCAGGACATTGTAGCAGCATGTGGCAGCTAAATGTGCCAAGGAGCACCGAAGCACCAGCCAATGACCCATGGTTTTGGCGGCGCCCCACTGGATCAGGCAGTGAACCGAAATAATCTGGGTATGAAACCTGGAACATATGCCATTGGAAAACATTGGAAAACTACATAGCAGTAGTACCGCACAAGGCGGTGGCGGAAGTTTCAAAAATAGGAAACCTATAGGAGAGCTTGGTGTTGTGAATCACGGATGGCAGAGCGAAGCCACTGATGGACCGAAAGGTGGTTAAGGTCTCCTCTCTTTCTCTCTCTTTTTTTCTCTCTTTCTCTGACTATCTACCTGCCTACCTATCTATCTATCTATCTATCTAAATCGATCTATATCTATCTATATCTATCTATATCCATCTATCTATCTATCTATCAATCTATCTATCTATCTCTCTCTCTCTCTCTCATCTGTCTTTCCAACTATCTATCGATCTATCGATCTATCGATCTATCTATCTATCTATCTCTCTCTCTCATCTGTCTTTCCAACTATCTATCTATCTATCTATCTATCTATCTAATCTATCTATCAATCAATCTATCTATCTCTCTCTCATCTGTCTTTCCAACTATCTATCTATCTAATCTAATCTAATCTAATCTAATCTAATCTAATCTAATCTATCTATCTATCTATCTATCTATCTCTCGACCTCTCTCTCTCTCTCTGTGTCTGTCTGTCTGTCTGTCCGTCCGTCCGTCCGTCCGTCCGTCTGTCCGTCCGTCTGCCTGCCTGCCTGGCTGGCTGTCTGTCCGTCCGTCCGTCCGTCCGTCCGCCGGCCTGCCTGCCTGCCTGCCTGGCTGGCTGGCTGTCTGTCTGTCTGTCTGTCTGTCTATCTCTCTCTCTCTCTCTCTCTCTCTGTCTGTCTGTCTATCTATCT